CCCCAAAACCCCAAAACCCCAAAACCCCATTATGCCGATTAGTGAATACTTCGAAGTTAAAATGAATAAATTTATATCAAAATATATCAAAATTCAAAAGTCTGTGAAAGCTCTCATTTCACAATTCTAAAGCCAATAATAGTCAAGTAATTCTTCCTTTTCATTTACTCCTGAGGCAGTCAAAGTTGCCATAATCCTTGAGTGAGATACTAGCCCATACTTTTCTTAGCTGGAATGATCTAAAGGGTGGGAAATCAAGTATTCTCTCATGAAAGTCTTGATGATTTAAGCTCTTTTGAAAAGATCAGAATGAGTTTCGTACCTAGGATTATGTGCACCTAATCTTTCAATAATGACATCAACATTATTAATTTCCCCAGATTCATCTTTTCTCAGATTCTTGATCATATCTTTTTACTTTTCTAAATTCGAAAATGTGTAAATTTGCCATAATCTAGGGATTCCATAAAGGTAAACCATCGAGAAATTAAAGTTTAATCCTTCACAGATACTTTAACCTGGAGAGTATTTTTCAACAATTTTCTCTATGTCTGGAGAGACATCATTTGAGGTTTCTAGAACCTCTCTTGCTATCGGAAGTATAATGAACTTAATGTTTTAAAGATTTGGATGTTTTTTGAACATATTGATGGCAGTCTGAATTGCTCGTTGCATTGGTGATACAAAAACAACTTTGAAATTGATTCTATTAATATTATCCTAGTTGCTTTCACATTGTAATACTCCAATCTAATGTAATCCTGGATCAGTAAGAGTTTTGTCGACTTTCAATTATCTAAAAGCATCTGAATCTACTCCATGCTAATCAGTGATTACCTAATCTCTGTAGTTGTATTCAGAATATCCATGCCTTATAATGATGAAAGAAGTATTTTTCAAGTCTTCATCAGGGATAGAATCCTGTCTTAGTTTGATATTAAGTCTTTCAATAAGCTCCTATAAATCTTCCATTTTAAAGGTATTAAAAATTAATATCCATTCATTATTATACCATATAAATTGATTGGTGTTGGGGTTTTGGGGTTTTGGGGTTTTGGGG